CCCAGTAAATGTGTTGAGTGTTTATATAGTTTTGCTTGCTCTCCATATCCGACAGACCTCACAGTGATTAATAACAATCCTTTATGCAGGGTGAACTCTGTCAAATATCTTGGTTTAACCATAGATAACAATCTTCATTGGTCTACTCACATCCACAACTGCATTGGTAAACTGCGGTGCCTATGATTTCAAATACGAAGGAGCAGGCAGTTCAGTTCATTACAGTCATTTATTTCTATCTTTGTTTATCAATGTGCTTTCTCCATCTTACTCTACTGTTTCCCGGTTATTTTCCATGGCTTATTCAAACAGGATTTGAAAGTCTTCCGCCACGGTCTAACTATCATCAGCCGTGTCTCTTCTATTCATATGAATGAGTTAGCCTTAAGGCTTCCAGAGTATCACGTGTCTTTCTGTGCGAAATTCGCTGAGAGGATTCTCACAGGTCCTGACCACTCATTGCACGCAGAACTCACACGTTGTCGTTCTCATCATTCAACACGCTCCCAATTCCGCCAGATTTCATCTCGAATTAACGCCTACCACAATTCAGCTATACCGTATTTTGCTCGTCTACTCATAAACAAAGACCGGACAATAGGTGAACTTTGTCTTCAACTTGGATTTTGAAATTTTCCCATGTCTGTAATGAAATTGTCCTCGTTGATTATGTACATTGTGACGGTTAGCTTGTATAATTTATTGTAACTGAAATGTGAGCTGCAGTGTTTGCAAAATTATACACAATACAATACAATACAATGAAAAAAGTACAATTTAATCCACAGAACAATTGTTTCTTTTAATTTGCATTTAGAATCCGTTTCACATTGCCTTGAACGCCTGTCCAGATTTATCAAGGGCACCAACTGATTTCCGTTTCTCTTACTTCCTATTCTAAAATGAATGATTTAATCCAGTTTCACCCATAAATATGCAGGTGATTCAATGATTGGTGATACATATCACAAGAATGCGTCTAGTACACTCAGTTTGTTGACCATAAAAATGTTTTGCTGAATTTCTTCACGAAGCACACAGTATTTCCACCGATCTGAATGATACAGTATTGACTATTACATGAATGCATGACCTCGTCATGTACATCTGACAGTAAAGCTAATCTGTTGAGTTCCAGGTTAACCGCTGTCCAGAATGAACCAATTATTTCCAATCATAATTTATATTTACATCGGACTCTTGCCTATAGATGTGCTGGTTTATTCAGTTTCAGTGTTCCCAGGCCTTACTGATGCGTCTTTCACAGAACCACTAACTGGCTTACTTTGTGTACCTAATTCTTTAGATAATGAAGTATTGCAATAGATTGTGTAAAATAACATTGCAAAACTTTAAACTGATCACAGAGAAAATGGACGAATTAGATAACTTAAAGTTTCGCTTGTACACTCACTTTTGTGATACACGGGTTTGCACGGAGCTCCTTTATCCGCAGCAGCTGACAGAAATAAATCGGATATTCATCAGTTGCACGTGTCAACTTTCCACCTCCACAAGAGATATACCAAAAAATAGGAATATATAATCTAATTATATGGGTTATAGAGTGCATCAAGCACAAATCCTGTCGATTGAACCTTTCCGTTTGCAGGAGTTCATCTGTTATCACAGAATTCTCTGGTATTCAATCAGACGATCTGATAGCTACTACCTTCCGTGAGTATGCCTTAAAGAACTGTCAGATTGCTTCATTTGAACTTACAAAAGACCTACGAAACCTACAAAAGAACATAATAAAGAATTCACCATCTATACCGTCGATTGAAATTACGCAATAATCCGTTTAGTTCCTTATTGTGTGTAGTTGTAGGTAAATACAAGGCATATGCCAGCATGATGGTCACTGAACTTGCTACCATCTATTGTAAAACTGATAAACTCGATTTCATTTCACAGTTTTCTTCCGTCCTCTATCTGTGCTATCCATGCTGAACATTGACGTCAGCAAATTTCTGTGCAGGAATGTAAATGAAGCTAATCAAGAACCTGAACAATTCCTACAAATAACAGGACCTGATGAATTGTGAACGGGTAATTTACTCGCTACCACCCTAGATTTCTTCATGCACTCACAAGAGCACCCGGAGATCATCCGTGTCAAGTGGTTCCACTGGCGTAATAAAACAATATTCAGCATGCACATTTCATCGACGTCATCACGGACGATTTCAAGGTCACGAATACCACCCTACATATGTGCCGGGGTGCAATAAACAGAGTTCAAAGGTCACACCAAAAAACTGACTCCCAGGTGAAATCGATAAATAAATAACAGTATTGGACATAGAAAAAATCCATTCCGTAGGTTGAGGAGTAAATATACATTTTACCTCATTTAGTGAGCACACGGGGTCAATCCACGCCCCAAATGTACCAATGAAGGAGCGTGCGTGTGGGTGTATGCCAGAGAGATCATTTCGATGAAAGAGAAGGCGCCCCAGTCCTTTTGTCTCACTGTCGCTGGACAATGTGTTGTCGCGGTCGGATCGAGTGTGACCGTTTGTATCCGCGACTGTGTAACACCCGGGCCAGTTAATCGAGTGAGCTGTGGACGAGAATGAACGAACCCGACGGGGATTGACCTGGTTCGGTCTGTTCGGTGTTCGTTCGGTCAATGGGCCAATCGGTTGGCTCAGTTAACCGAGCAGCATGGTCCGGCGTCAATATGGACATGAACCGGTGCATGAGCGCCCTTTAAGCATAGGCCGCCAATCGCCTGGTTAATCAAATTCTATTCACACCGAATTCCCATCGAACGGGACCATTGTTCCCGATCAAATGCAATTACCCAATCCATTGATATACCAACGTGTCACGGGTGAAGGAAAAGCTCAAAAGTGGCAACAGAGCAAAATTGCATTGCATTGCGTTGCACAGGGGAACTCTATTTGACAGTGATCGAGTTCTCGGGAAAGAACAATGGACGAAATCGTACAGACCACAGTGCTCGCGCAATTGGACCAAGTGGAACTGACCGAGCGGCTTGTGCACTGCACAATCACACAAGCACAGAATAATGCACATTGCACCGGACTAGCCGTGTCTCAATCCATATCACTCTATCTCGCCGCATTGATTCATTGGACATGGAAACGACCAAGCGCATTGGACTGGGAAACGTGACAAAGTGATTGTGGCTTCGTCCGTCACACGTCACCTATTCGACTGGGTCTATTCGAACGCCCGTTCAATCGGACGGAAGTGATGCTGGCTAAACAACACGGAAGTACATTTCGCGCGAGCTAGTGAGCGCGCGTGCGAGTGCGCATGATCCATTCACGTCCACTGAGTGTCAATGAGTGACCGTGCCTGAGTGTGTTGTGTCAACGCGCGCGCGTTTATCTCGATAGCAGTGTGTGTGTGTGTGTGTGTGTCGGTGTCGGTGTCGGTGTCGGTCTGTGTGTCTGTGTGACTGACTGTCTCTCTGTCCCTGGACAATGTGTTGTCGCGGTCGGATCGAGTGTGACCGTTTGTATCCGCGACTGTGTAACACCCGGGCCAGTTAATCGAGTGAGCTGTGGACGAGAATGAACGAACCCGACGGGGATTGACCTGGTTCGGTCTGTTCGGTGTTCGTTCGGTCAATGGGCCAATCGGTTGGCTCAGTTAACCGAGCAGCATGGTCCGGCGTCAATATGGACATGAACCGGTGCATGAGCGCCCTTTAAGCATAGGCCGCCAATCGCCTGGTTAATCAAATTCTATTCACACCGAATTCCCATCGAACGGGACCATTGTTCCCGATCAAATGCAATTACCCAATCCATTGATATACCAACGTGTCACGGGTGAAGGAAAAGCTCAAAAGTGGCAACAGAGCAAATATGGAGAATGAGGTTTCCATATTTCACTGGAACAGCTTGCAAGGGACAGACCGAGAGACAGACAGACAGACAGACAGACAGACAGACAGACAGACAGACAGACAGACAGACAGAC